TTTTGACCTTTAATATGGTTTTTAACTTAATTATTTGCTCATTGAAAGGTTTAATGGTTTGGGGATTTTTAGGAAAACTTAGGGTTTGAACTTGAAATCAAAAGAGGGGTTTTCTAAATGGATTCTTGAGAATGGTTGTGGGGATGTGTTCATGGGTGAGATGTGTTAAAATGATGGATATCTTTTCTTAAATTTTATTTTTGTAAGAAAATGGGATTTTGTTCTAACTTCTGGATATTTGGATTTGTGAAAGGAAATGGAAAATGATGTTGGGTTTTATAAGATTGGAACTATGATTTTGTTGATGATGATGGTGGAGTTGGATATGTAATATCACTCTCATTGTAAGAGGATGGAATTATATCTTTTGATTGCAAACTATCTGTGCATAGAAATGTCTGTTTTGGACTATCGATGGAGAATATTCTTGATTGTTGTAGACATTGCATGATGATTATGTTGAATTGAAACTAATTTCTCATACATTGTGCATTGAGCATCATTTCATTTTGAACATTGTAAATGTATTGATTTTGAGAAATATGGGCGAATACCTTGGTGAATCTGGTTAGGGGGTATGGTTGTAGTTATGATGTTGGCCTGTATGTCCTTGGTGAAAGTTCAGAAACCCACGCGATTAGGTGCCGAGCCTTTCAGTTAGTACCGGTAAAATGGTTTGAGTAGACCTTGTATAGCCTACTAGCAGATACGTACCTAGAAATTCCTAGTATTTTGTATCCATTGCCCTGTTTTCTATTATAAAAGAATTATTTTCATGAACTATCTTATAATCTGGCATTGCATTGTTTTGAGTTGGAAAACGAAGAATGTTTGACAAATGACATGCATGTGCATTCACCTTATAATTCTGCTAAGATTCATATACTATGTTAGAGTATCTCTACTAGGTTGTGACTCATCGTATGTGGAAAACAATTTTTAGGTGTAGATGATCTGCCTCCACCAAGGACGTAGCTTGGTAGGACTTGGAGTTAAAGGCTATATTTTTGTTTATTGATGTAGTTATTTTTGTTCAAGCCTTGGCCTTTACCTGTATTAAGTTAAACTCATTTTGTTGTACCAAGCATCGCCTTGGAAAGTTGTAGCCAATAGGGCATTTAATTATTTGGTTTACTTTTACTTTAAATCGATGTATCTAAGTCATATGCTATAAATTAAGAATCTAGGATTTATGAATGTATACTGCATATGTCATCTTTTGGATTGATCCAAAAAAAATGAATGGAATAGAAAAGACGATGTCGTTTGATCAATTATGAGTAATGTTATGGAATGGGTTATTGTTATTTATTTTGGGGCGTTACAAATTCAAAGGAAAGTGTTTTGTATCCGGCAAAGACAGGCATTGCACTAAGGATTGTCATAATCAAAAAGAAAGCAAAAGCTTGAGCAAGAGGTCAGCATAAGTTCACATGACCGAAGTCGCATACATCTCTAATGGAGTGGGAGACATTTATCTCTCCTATGTGGTTTTTGAGGCAAACTTAGTAGGAAACACTAAGGAATGATGGGTGGACATTATGGTTACTTGTCATATCCGCGTTGATAAGAAAATGTTCACGACCTACAAAGCGATGGAGAATGGATAACAACTCTTTATGGAAAATTCCTTAATCTCTACAATCAAAAGACAAAGAAAGGTCATGCTCAAGGTGACTTCAGGAAATAACTCACTCTCAACAATGCACTCCATGTACTGAACATTCGCAAGAATCTTATTTCCTAGTCATTGTTGATCAATAATGGGTTTAGGCTAGTCTTTGAATCAGACAAAGTTGTACTCTCTAAAAGTAGGATATATGTGGGGCAAGGATATTTGAGGGATAGGCTTTTCAACCTCAATGTACTAACTATTGTCCGTAACTTTACTATTAATAATAAGAATACATCTTCTATTTATATTGTTGAGTCTTCTTATTTGTGACATGATATATTAGGACATGTGAATTTTAATTTTTTCCGTAGACTAGTTTCTTTAGAATGTTTACTAAACTTAGAATTTGATCAAAATCATAAATGAGAGATTTGTGTTGAGGTAAAACTTACTAAGGCGTCATTTAATACAATGGAGAGAAAACTGAACCTCTAAGTTTAATTCACACCGATATTTGTGATTTAAAATTTATTCAAACTAGAGAAAGTAAAAATTACTTTATTACTTTTATTGATGATTGCACTCAATATTGTTATGTTTATTTATTGAGAAGTAAAGACGAAGCTTTAGAAGCTCTTAAGCAATAAGCTTTAGGTTAAAAATCAACTTGGCAAAACTATTAAGATAGTAAAGAGCGATAGAGGAGATGAGTATGATACATCATTTGAGAAATTTTGTTCCCAACATAGTATTATTTACCAAACTACTGTTCCATATTCTCCTCAATCAAATGGAGTTGTTGAGAGAAAGAATCAAACCCTTAAAGAGATGATGAATGCTATGTTGATTAATTCAAGATTACCTCAGAACTTGTGGAGAAAAACAATCTTGTAAGCCAACTTTATCTTTAACATGATATCTCACAAGAAAATTAATCAAACATCTTATGAATTATGGAAATGTCAACAGCCTACCTACAAATATCTCAAAGTGTGGGGGTGTTTAGCCAAAGTGGCGGTCTCTAGTCCTAAAATGACTAAAATAAGACCAAAAATTGTTGACTATGTGTTCATCGATTATGCAAATAATAGTAGTGCATATAGGTTTGTAATTCATAGATTTGAAAATCTTGATATGCATGTGAATATTATTATCGAGTCAAGGAATTCATCGTTTTTCGAACACATATTTCCTTGCAAGAAAATTGAAGAGTTTAAAACTTCTGAAGCTGAATAGACAAGTTCAAATAAATAACTTTTTGACACTGCTATGGGTAACTGTAAAAACCAAAATGATAATAAAGAAGATGAACATAGATGTAAAAGATGGCTAGGATATCTAAATTTTTTAGTCCATATTTTTCGGCATATTGGTTAGAAAATGAACCTAAAAACTTCAAGGAAGCTATGGCAAGTCCTAAAGCTCTATTATGGAAAGAGACTGCAAATAGTAATATTGAATCTATTTTGTAGAGTCATACGTGGGAATTGGTAGATCTTCCACCCAGATGTAAATCCCTTGGATATAAGTGGCTATTCAAGAGAAAAATGAAAGCAAATGGATCAATTGAAAAATACAAGACAATGCTTATTATGAAGGAATATGGGCAGAAGAAAGGCTTTGATTATTTAAACACTTATTCACTGGTGACAAGAATAACATTCATTCGCATGATAACAACAATTGTAGCATAATATAGAAATACATCAAATGGATGTTAAAACAGCCTTTTTGAATGGCGAGTTAGGTGAGGAAATCTATATGGAACAACTAGAAGGTTTAAAGTTCTAGGCCAAGAGAAAATTGTTTGTAAATTTGTCAAATTCATTTATGGTCTAAAACACAATGGCGTGAAAAGTTTGATCGTGCTATGATTTTGGATGCTTTTAAGACAAATGAATGTGACAAGTGTGCCTATGTTAAAAACACAAATATAGGTTATGTCATAATTTGCCTTTATGTGGATGACATGTTTATTATTGGTAGCAATAATGACATAATTAAATCCACAAAGAAAATGTTGAACAAGAGGTTTGATATGAAAGATCTAAGAGTAGTAGATATGATTATAGGGATGAAAATCACAAGAACATCTGAAGGATATGTCGTATCTCAGTCTCACTATGTTGAGAAGATTTTAGAGAAGTTTGAGAAGCATAATAACCGTCCCGCAAAAATACCTGTTGACATTAGTCTTTATTTGTCAAAGAATACATGTGTAGGCATATCACAATTGGACCACTCTCAGATAATTGAAAGCTTGATGTACCTAATGAATTGCACTAAGCTAGATATAGCTTATGCAGTGAGTAAATTGAGTAGGTATACAGTAATCTAGGGCAAAATAATTAGAAGTAATAATTAGGGTGCTTAGGTATCTAAGACATATCTAGTATTATGGTTTACATTATATCAAATATCTAGCAATACTCGAAGGGTACAGCGACACAAACTGAATATCAGATACTAAAAACTCAAAATCCACGAGTGGATGTGTCTTTATCCTGAGAGGTGTTACAGTCTCTTAGAAATTCTCTAAGTAGACATGCATAACAAGGTCTACAATAGAATTTGAGTTTATTGAGTTAGACAAAATAGATGAAGAAGTAGAGTGACTTTCGTAATTTCCTAAAAGATATTCCAATGTAGTCTAAACTTGTGCCAGCTATATGCATTCACTGTGATAGTGAAGCAGCAATAGAACGGGCACATAGTCACATTTATATTTGTAAGTCTCGACATATCTCGACATATCTGTCGAAGACATAATACTGTTCGACATTGGCTCTCATATGGAATAATTTTTAGAGTATATAAGGTCAATAGGGAACATTGTGGATTCGTTGACTAAAGGATTAACTAGAGAACAAGTGTACAATTTATCGAGGTTAATGAATTAAAGCTTATTAATTAAAAGTTGCCATAATGGCAACTTAATTAGTTGATTGAAGATTCTAAGATTTAGGTTCAAAGGGACAACTGCATTATGGATAACTTCACATATTACTAAGGAGATTTATTCTTATCAATTTTTATGATAAGAAGAGTGATACCTGTCGCGTTAGTAAGGTAAGTTTTGTTTTTAATGATTCCTGTATTTTGGGTATCTAAGGGGTTGTTTGGGATGTCCTAAATAAGTGTATTTTTTGACTTTTTATAAAATATGGGTTCGGTATGTGTTGGGTTTGAAGTGATGTGGTAGAGAGGTGATGTGAGTTAAATAAGATGATGTGATTTAAATAAGATAGTGATTTTTTTACTTTTTAATTTTTTTAGTTATGCCAAACCAAGCCTAAGTGGGGTATAACAAGATATTTACCTATTTTATTAGTACATAGCAGAAAATCTTAGATCACACTTCTAATTTTTGCAAAATTTAGGGAAGGTTAGTGTGATTGACCCATTTTTAATAATTAATTAACTATTAAAAAAAATGCAATTTTGAGCCAAAAACACTCGCCCTCTCACTCTCTCTCCGTGGTGCGACGATCCGATCATCTGAGCTTAATCCATTTGGCACCTACCAACGATCGTATTACGTATAGATGATACGAAGTGGTCGGTGAAAACTGAGTTCAAATGTCGCAGAACAATATTCCTGTGAGCGAAACCTATTGGTCTCTCGTCGACAAGGCCGACAAGAAGTTCTCTAAGATCAGGGATTTACCCTATTACGAACGCAACAGGTTTGTTTTTTTAATTCCCTCTAATTTCTCTGATTGTTTCCATGGAAAAGTGCGGTCTGTGTGTAAAGAAAAAAGGGTAATTATTCAATTATAATGTGATAGTGTTAGGATTACTAGTGTGTTATTATCTGAGAATTTGTGTTAAGCCTGGTATTATTCAATTATGAAGTTTTCAATACTCAATTTAGTGGAGGTTGTACTCAATTCAATACTCCTTTTCTTACATTTTCTTTACAATCAAACATGGGTATATGGGTTTTAGAGTGTTGTTTGTAATTGATGAAATTTGTGCATCTGGGTTGTTGTTGATGATGATGGAATATGTATATCTGTGGAATGAAAACTACAGTCTGTGTGTAAAGAAAAAAAAGGGTATTATTCAATTTTAATGTGATTGTGTTAGCATTACTAGTGTGTTATTATCTGAAAATTTTTGCAAGACTGGTATTATTCAATTATAAAGTTTTCTATACTCAATTTAGTGGAGGTTGTACTCAATTCAATACTCCTCTTCCGACATTTTCTTGACAAGGAAACATGGGTAACAGTTATACATAATTAGAGTTGCTTAATTATTGAAATATGGGGTTCAGAGTTTTGGGATTTGTAATTGATGAAATTTGTGCAACTGGGTTGTTGATGATGATGCTGGAATATGTATATCTACCAGGTATGATACGTACTTTTACAAGGTGTTTAAGGTCTACACACAGTTATGGAAGTTTCAACAAGAGAATCGGCAGAAGCTTGTGGAAGCAGGACTCAAGAGATGGGAGATTGGGGATATTGCTTCTCGAATTGGGCAGCTTTATTTTGGACAGTATATGAGGACAAGTGATGCCAGTTACTTGTCTGAGTCATACATATTCTATGAAGCTGTATTGACTAGGGAATATTTCAAAGATGGATTGTTTCAAGATCTCAATCTTGCTAACAAACAACTGCGCTTTCTTGCAAGGTTTTTAATGGTGTGTTTGGTGTTGAACCGGCGAGAAATGGTCTACCAGTTGGTAAATCAGCTTAAATTGTTGGTTGATGAGTGCAAGAGGACTTTCCAGGTCAACTTTAGAATTTAGTTGTTAGACTTTTCTGATTACATGTTGTTTTAGACTTTTCTGATTACATGTTGTGTTGTTATGTTTTCATTCTCTCTGGATATATATATTTTGTGGGTCTCGTTAGAGCATCCTATGATAATTGAATTGCTTTATTGTATTTTTTATGTACTGTGTTTTGTTCAAAGCCATGATTTACCCATAAATTTGAAGGGATATGGTCATCATGAAGAGTGATTATGAAAGTTTGGAAATAACATCCCTCGTGGTGTGTTTACTATCTGGTTGAAGTTGAATTGCTTGGTGTAAGTGTATTACTCATTCTGAGTCCATTGCTAAAAATGGAAGCCATCTCTATGCTGGTTGTGAAGTATCACTTGAGGAAATAGCCATGCATACATAATCTTGCTTCCGACTTTTAGCTATGTCTTGTCATCGTCGATGAGGAATTTGTACCAAATAATCATACATGAAACCTCTTCCCTTTCCTTTTTGGCTTAAAAGGTGCATTTGGATGTAAAATAAAATCGAACCGTTCTATTTGAGGTATCAAAGGCTGTACGGCGAATGAGGTCATTGTAGAATATGTAAACCACCATCATCGTAACTACAGCAAAGCACTGAAACAGCATCATTGCTTGAAATCTTAAAATCATATAGGTGTGGTGATAAACCATTTTTTAAGTGATCATCCAAAGCAGAAATGCAAATGGTTGCCATCAGGTATAAGATCAACCAGAAGGGCTATGCCTTTCAAGATCAAAGAAAGGCAAAAAGGCCAAGCTTCTCCCTTTTGGACTTTGCATGTATACCCCTAAAAAAAGAAAAATACTGAGGGGGAAAAGGAAGATAACAGATTAGACTTAGACCTCTTGAAAGAAAAGAAAAAGAAAAAGGTGGAATAATCTGAGAGAACACCCTATTTTCTGAATGTTATATAACTCAGTTTGGATAAGACTGAAATAGCCTGATTTGTGTGGGACTTATATATGCTTGCCTTAATCTAATGATTATCATCATTTGCAAAAAAACATTTTTGCATGTTATGACTTATGACAGTAGATGGATTGAATGACCTTTTAATTATCCCATTTCCAGGACACTAACTTTAAAGAATGGAAGCTGGTGGTTCAAGAAATAGTTAAGTTTCTGAAAGTTGACACAGCTTTTATGAATATCAGGCCTTTGAGATATAGTCTTGTACTGGACCTCCATCCAGATTTGCTACCACATGTTGCAGCAGCTAGGAGAAAGCTAAGATTAAGAGATGCAATACTGACAAGCTATTATCCTAATGAGGTTGGTACCCTTTTCATATTTTTTTATTTTTGTTGTCAATAGACAATATACAGTTTCATAGTCAAAAGTACTAATTATCTGATTTATTATACAGTTGTGCTTACTGCTTCAAATTGTGTTCTTTCCATTTTTATTTGTTAATTTTTTTTTTCTTAGGTAAAGTTTTCAGAGCTTACTCTTGATACTTTTAGAATGCTTCAATGTCTGGAATGGGAACCCAGCGGCTCATTTTATAAGTCAAGTGGAGCTCCTTCAAGTGGGACAGCTACTAACATTGCTCAAAATGGGGCCCCAGGGCCTAGTCGTATTAACTACTCACAAGATATTACTGATCCTACTTTGCCACCGAATCCACGCAAAGCTGTTTTATATCGTCCGACAGTCACACAATTTATAGCAGTGAGTATCCATATTAGCCTAATTTTCTTTACAACTGTACATCTTGCTCTATCTTGTAACCATTTTAATTTTTTCAAATACTAAAAAAATATGAAATGGTGTTAAATTTGGTACTTGTATGTGGTGAGTTTTTGCTTGAATTCCATGATAAAGTATGGACACTATGAGGTTAGTTTTATCCTTGATGAGGTAATCTCTCTTATGGGTTGGAGGAATGAGTAAAAGAAGAGCAGCCCACTATTGTCTTCCACCTCATTGGTATCCTAGCTCCCTAGCTGCTTGGTGAGGATTATCAATATTATGTTAGAGTTTTTCTTTTAGCCTTTTATTTTTCTATCTCCTAAATACGCTAAGCAAGGTTATTTAGCATCAAATCCATGACTTCAGAATTAGAATGAACTTAGTAATTCTAAAATGTTTTGAACCGGAACATCAAGGATGGTTGTAAAAGGTTTAAGTTTGACCAGGACGATCTTTGATGCTTTTCCGATTCATATTTGTCAAAGTGTACAATGCATCAAAGTTCAAGACAACACTATGTATTCTGTCAAAAGACCATATTCTTAGGAAGGTTTAAAGCTGTAGTGATGGTATAAATGTTGTGTGGTAGAGAAGTAATAGTTACTGTAGCTGATGCAAGATTTGTGAGGGAAAAATTGTGTATATTAACCAGCACAATCACATCTTTATACAAGGAAATAAAGATAAATCTCTTCATATCCCCCCACAAATTCATGATGTGAGCCTTGTGAGCATCAATAGTTTGTCAAGCAAGAAGTGAAAGTGAGAGTAAGAATGAATCTTGGTGAATAAGTACACAAGTTAAAGGCGAAAGATATTGGAAACAAAGTTTTGAGCGAGCTGGATAATACTCTTATTATCACAGTAGAGAGTAGGAGATAGTGAAACATTCAAGCCAATGGAGCCAAACAATCTGAGCATAGTATGAGCCATAACATGATTTTCAATCTCAACAATAGAATAAATTGTTTCTTGATTCTCACTAAGAGACATACAGTAGTAGACTTGTGATTTGGAAATCTCTCCAACTCAATCAACATCAACATAGGCTTGAAGAGTCAAACAGAAAGCATAAGATAACAATAAACTTTGAAATATATTGCCATACACACATCGTAAGATTTGTAACAAAGTTGCCCAATGAGTAGAATGAGATGTGAAAATAAATTGACTAACCACATCAACAATGTAGACAATATAAGGTATGATTATCAAAGAGAACACATCAAAAGTAGGAAATTTGGCATGTAAGGTATATCAGCGACTTTGTCATCATTGAATTGGGCACGATGAACATGCTTACTCGCATATTTAGAATGCAACAAAAAGATAGCCTTTTGGTGAAGAAGTTACCTCAATACTAAAAAAAGAGAGAGTAGAGGATCCAAATCTTTCTTCTCAAATTCCCCAAAAGATGTTTCAACTCGCTGTCGTTGAAACCAATGATATTCATTATTTTCACATATTACAACTTGTGGGTAAGGAGTGTTAGGTGGTCAGTTGTGACCTCTAGGCAGATGGTGGGCACTTCAATGACTCGAAATTACCGAAGGCGGTGGAGAAGAAGACCAAGGTAGCCTTAGAGATAGAGAGAGTGGCAGTGAGACCTTGAGCACTTAGGTATAGGGTAGTTGTGTGCAAGATAGGTGAGAGCTCTTATTTTCACATGTTATGATATGATTATGATTGTCGTGGTTGTGAGTTACGGCTGCGTTCATGACACCGTCATATAGACTTTAGGTGTATTGGAGCCCAAGCCACCTATGGACAGGTGGTAAGCTCTTTTTAACTTGACAGAATGGTGATATCAACCCTACCACTGTGTCCTATGATTTAGGCCCTTGGGAAGGCTGCATCATAGGAGTTGGAGAGGTAGGTATGATATCTTGGCCAATGTATCATGCATGCAACAAGCGTGCATGTGAAGTTAACACCCCCTCTAAGATTGGTCAATGTGGAGCTGTCATCCTAAGGAGACAACCAAGTAACCTTGACAAACCCATGATCTTAGCCTCCAATTCACAAGCCTGTAATGATCTTGAGCGAGGGATGCATAGGCCTTACTTCTAGCCTAGGTGTGATTGAGTAAAGTGATACTTACTTAGGAGTGAGCACCTAGGGGAGATAGAGAAATGGTAGGGGCCTGACTATGTTGTAGCTGAGGAGGAGGACTTGTAGATAGATAATTACTCGTGCGTTCCCTATGAGAATGAGGTATGAAGGATAATGGCGAGCTAGGGCTTCGGGTGAGCCATGGTGCTGTTGAGCGAGCTATGGTTGAGTGAGTGAGCGAGCTTGGCTTCGCTACGTGAGCCACATCAAGTTCTTCATACTTTGACCCAAGCTAGTGAGCTGAGTATTCATATTTGGTGGTGTGTACTCCCTTGCTTAGGCTAGGCATACAACTCCAATTAGTCTTGTGAGGACATCATGGTGCCACAGAAGTTTGCCATGCGGAGGTATGGTGTTGATGGCATGGCGCCTATAGGGCTTGCTGTTACACGGTCTTGGGTAGAACTCACCCCAAAAACTAGAACTTAAGGTGAGGGTGCCCTCAAGTTTATATGATTAATATTACTTTAGTACTCAAACGATATGGGATTTTGCTTTACACCATCCCTCACGCCCAGTGTGCTCACTTGGTAGCACCTATAGTGTGCAGGTCAGGGACACGCACCCTATCCATCCCTGGACCCTGAGTACTCTAGCTCTGATACCATGTTACTCAGTCTTGGGTAGAACTCAGCCCAAAAGCTAGCTCTTAAGGTGAGGATGCCTTCATGTTTATATGCTTAATATTACTTTAGTATTCAGGCGATGTGGGATTTCGCTTCACACTAGCTAAGTGCCATGCGTGGTACAAGTATCCACACAACCTAATGACCATACCACAAGTAATGTGATGTGTGAAAAGAGTAGAATCATGAATTCTAGGATGCAAACCAATATGAGGTGCCAGCTATTAAACATCCAGATGTTAGAATGCTTCAATGGGTGAAAACATGGGCTGTTAGGAAACTAAAATTCAAGTAGTGTAGCAAAATACAAGAACAAGTTTTTTGTGACAATGGGAGATTGATGCAGCCCAAATAGTTCCTTTCTTTATAAAAGAATCCATGTTGGGCCTCTTTTTTTTTTTTCATAGGATTTAACTACCAGGGCAGTTCTATCATTTTACATTTGCTGGAGGCATTTTGGTTACTTCTATATTTTTAGAATTACTTCTAGGGTAATAGATTAAATTATATTTATGAGACTCTAGTAAGTTTAGTTGATTGGGGATTCTATCATTGTACATTTTCTGGGGGCATTTTGGTTACTTCTATATATTTAGAATTACATCTAGGGTAATAGATTAAATTATATTTATCAGAATCTTGTAAGTTTATTTGATTTGGAATTAAGTGTTGAAGTAATTGAAGTCCATTAGTATTCCATATAACCCAACCAGCTCCTTCCACCACTCCTCTCTCCTTCTAGCTCTATTAGATCCATATACTCCAGTCAACCACCATTCATTGAATACTAATTTGCTGTGTGGGGGGCAACTGTAATGTGGGTTAGATTTGTTTCAGAAAAGCTTAATGTGACTTCAATAATTAGGGATATGAGGGATTTTTACACTTACATAAGAAAGTGTGATTTGATTGATCTTCCTCTGTTTAATGCTAGAGTCACTTGGTCTATTCTTCAGGTGAGTTTTGGCATGTAGTAGACTGGACCACTTATTGTTTTCTTTAGGTTGGGAGGAATTATTTCCAAGCATCAGACTGGAGGTGCTTCCAAGAGTCATATCAGATCACTATGTTGTGGTGATAGAGAGCTGTCCTAACAAATGGGGTCCATCACCCTTTAGGTTTGAGAATATGTGACCCAAGCATATCACTCTTTTAGGAAAATTTTAAGGTCTGGTGGGATAGTTGTAGGCATTGTTATCAAATCGTGAATTGAATCATGAATCATTTTGTTGAAATAATAAATTGTGTAGGCATATTAATTTTTATTTAATATGATATATAATTTCATATATTTATATACATATTAAATTACACATAGTGTTGAAAATGAAGTAAATATCAATATATAACTAAATTGATAACAATATGAAATCATTTATATCAATATAACTAGTTGATCACTTTATATCTTGATAATTTGGCAAAAATGATGTCATTCCATGCATTTTGTCAACAAAAAAAAAAAAAAAAAAAAAAAAAAAAATTGTCAACAAAAAAAAAAAAAAAAAAGAAAAAGAAAAAGAAAAGAACTACGTCACAGTGAATTGTGGTGAGTCACAAATTGAATTGCTTGATTCACTCAATTTTCAATTCAATAGTATGATTTGAATCGTTTTTGTTGAAATTGTATCAACTCATATGAATTGAATTGTGAATTGTACAATTCTAACAACCATCATGGATGGGAGTGTGAAGCGAAGTCCTATATCGCCCTAAGTACTAAAATAATGTCAATCATATAAGCATGATAGCACTCTCACTTCTTAAGCTAGCTTTTGGGGTTGAGTTCTATCCAAGACCGTGTATCATGGTATTGGAGCTGGAGTATGGGTAGGGTAGAGTGTGTGTCTCTGGCCTGCATGCTGTAGATGTTGTAGAGTGAGCACGCTAGGTGTGAGGGAGGGTGTGAAATGGAGTCCCACATCGCTTGCGTACAAGTAATAATAAGCATATAAGTGTGAGGGCATCCTTACTTTAATAGCTAGCTTTTGGGGTGAGTTCTATCCAAGACCGTGTAACATGGTATCAGAGCTAGAGTACTCATGGATGGGTAGGCTACGTGTCCCTGGCCTACACGCCGTAGGTGCTGTCAAATGAGCACGTTGAGCGTGAGGGAGGGTGTGAAGCAAAGTCCCACATCGCCTGAATACTGAAGTAATATTAAACATATAAGTGTTAGGGCACCCTCACCTTAACAACTAGCTTTTGAGGTGAGTTTTATTCAAGACCGTGTAACATGGT